CGCGTCGGCTGTTAGTTGCTCACGGTGCGATTTAACGGCTTGTCTTTATTTTTTTTGTACACTCGAAACCCATAAGTGAAAGACACAAAATCCAATCGAAATGAAGAACCTTATGTTCTTTCTGCTGCTGGTATTACCCACCATTATTTGCACGTTCAGTGCGCGTAAGTATTGCATTTAATAGAAGCTCTGCAATTGTTGACTTGCCGACAGTCGCAACAACAACGGCGGCGGTGGCGGCGGCAACTACGTGGCATTTGGCCACGACAATTGATAAGGTGACTGCATGGAGGAATGAGCAAAGCCCTTTATATGCACTTATATGAAAGTTGCATGCTTCCACTTTCATACTGAACATCGCATTTTGTTAGCCGCCACCGCTACTGCTGTTACGAGCGAGAGAAAAGTGTTGAGTTGGCAACATTTGCTTGGCTCGATCTTACTCTCATTCATGTGTGCTTGTATATTGCATTGTTGTTGTTGCAGCAAACAAATTTGGTGCTTATGCTGCCGAGGCTGTTGAAGATGATCTAGTTGATGTGGATAGCGAGGAGGGCGCTGTGACAGGCGAAGATGCTGAAGCGGATGATGACTCGGACAGCGGCAGTAGCAGCACCTCTCCCAATGCAGACACCTATCTATTGTTTACAAAGCCCCTGCATACAGCTGGCCAGCAGCTGGATCTGCCCGGTGGCAAGCCCGTTGAGTTTCTGATTGGTTTCACCAACAAGGGCCAGGAGGAGTTTGTCATTGAATCGGTGGAGGCATCCTTCCGCTATCCCATGGACTTCAACTACTTCATCCAGAACTTCTCCGCGGTAGCGTACAACCGTGAGGTGAAGCCGGGCCTTGAATCAACAGTCTCCTACACATTCATGCCATCTGATCAGTTTGCTGGTCGTCCCTTTGGTCTAAACATTGCTTTGGCTTATCGCGATGCCAACGGTATCCAGTACAACGAGGCTGTCTTCAATGAGACGGTGCTAATCTCGGAAGTCGATGAGGGCTTGGATGGCGAAACTTTCTTCCTGTATGTGTTGCTTGCTGGCATCGTTGTCCTGCTGCTGGTTATCGGACAGCAGTACTTGTTGGGCAGCTCTGGCAAGCGCAAGCGTGCCGCTGCTAAGAAGGTCATTGAGACCGGCACTGCCAACGACAGCAACATCGATTACGACTGGGTGCCGCAGGAAACACTCCGTGCGCTGCGTAAGTGCTCTATCTATATATTATTTACGATTTGTCACTTATTATCATTCGGTTATGCCTCACACAGAGAAATCGCCACCCAAGTCGAAAACGCCAAAGACATCGCCCAAGCCAGGTAAACAGGCCAGTCCCAAGGCAAACCAACAGAGCCCCAAACAGCGCAAGGTGAAACGTTCAGCGGGCGACGACTAAAGACTGCACAGCCTGTTAAGCTGCATCTACACACAAAACACACCCACACACCCACGCGCATACATTCATAGAACATCCAAAATATGCTCGCAGTCTAATATTACGGTTAATACTTTTTTTGTCGGTCAATTGCAATTGACAATGTAGAGATTGTTAGTGTTTAGCTCACAAAGTACATCGAAGTGACAGCTAGGGACCGTGCTGATCAAATTTCAAATGATGGTAAAAGTTAGCAAATTGGTTTTTATTTTAATTCACTAAATCTATTATTTTTCGATTCGAACTGCCACTGCTCCACAACATACTCTTAAAAAGAAGCTCCAACTTTGTGCCGCTCCGTATAATTGTCTTCGTTTGTTGAAGATTCTCGGACGCGTGCGAAACCATTCAATTATCAATTATACGATAAATTAAATGGGCATATTATTTTCTTCCGTTAATAGAAAGATCAATGTTTATTTCGTCTGTCTGCTTATGGGCAGAGCACAACAAACTTAGAGTGGAGCTTTCCCAAAAATAAGTAAAAGAAAAATGTGAGAAGTTATAAATAAATTAAATGTACTTTGAATTCGTTGTTTTATTTGCCACAATGATAACTAATTCTCTATTTCCATTCGTCGATGTCAGGATTCTGTGTTATCGGTAAGTATCGAAATAAACGACGGTTAACTAAGCAGACCCTAGAAAAAGAGCTGAAGATTCCATTCAGATCTTCGTAAAATCTTTTCAGTTAAATTTATACAGCTTGTGAATATCCAAAATTAATGCAATAAAAATAAAATCTTAAATTGCACATTTTGTAATAAAGGCATTGCAGAACATTTGTGATGGTTCGTTAAGCTATTGATGTTATCGAGCCCATTTCAAAATACATAAGCATAATTGAATAGGCAACAAAGTTGCAATAATTCATTACTATGCTTTATATTATTAATATTGCTATTCATATAAATCGTTCGAATAAAAATGAATGATTTTTGTGTTTGATTGTTTTTGTGGAGTATTTCCTCAGCGGTGGAGCAGAAGTCGCTGTTAACTCATCTGTTGTCTGTTAAGTCGACTATTTAGCTTTTACATAAACTACTCATTGGCAACAACTCTAGCAGTTGATACTTTCGATAGCTGCATGTAGTACTCGATACTTTCGATAGCAAAACAATAAAAGTTTCGAACGATTGACGATGACGAACGTTTAATGAGAAATATTTAAACAAATTAAATTCATCATTAACGAAATAAAGTGTAGATACAGTGCGTGCGCTTGCATCCATTGCCGATTACGTGCATTTGAGCCACCAGGCGACTCAAAGTCGCGGTTGCCGTCACCATAGACCGTCACGTCGACGTTTTGCAGTCGCCGAGTCGGAGGCCATCCCACATTTGACAGAGGCGTAAAGATGACCGCCTCGGACAAGTATACGTATCAGCGGACTGTGCTCTGCTTAGCGCGCGTGCTGGCTGGCATACGGCCCACCCCTTGGGACAAGGTCGGTGTAGACAGGGGTGTGTTATGCTTGGTTGGTTGATGTTGACAGTGTTTGTTTGATGGAATGCGAAGGGTGGGGGACAGGCCGCAAATTGAAAATCGAATTTTCGCGCAACTAAAGTTGACCTTGGGCGCAACAGACATGCGTATAGTGATGACGTTGCCTTAGAAAAAGGTCTCTGAGGGGGGAGAAGAGGATGTTTTTAACTGTTATTATTGACTGCCTGCCCCTGCTTATCTGTAATATTGCATATTGCATACTGTCGTCACAGGTGCAGACATTGTTCCGCTACTGTCCGCAGGAGAATGCATCAGGCGTCTTTTGCTTGGACTCCAGAGCGCAAGATGCGGTCATCGCATTGGGCATTTACTTCCTGGAAGGCGGCTGCCAGCATGAGTCACAGATAGTGCCCTATCTGCTGCGTTTGGCCAAGAGCCTGCCCAAGGCACGAATACACGATGAGCGTAATAGCAAAGTCGAGCGTAAGTGCAAACCATAAACCAATATTCTCTAAATAAAATCTAATCAACTGGTGTCCATTGGACGTATGCAGGTGTACGCATACCCGCAGCAGAGAAATTTAGTTTCTGCTTGAACACGATGCTCTCGGACATAGCCGCCAAGTGTCCGGATTTGCGAGAGGAGATCATTCTCAACCAGGTGGAAACGCTGGGCACGCTTGCTAATATTGTGAAGCCCAGCAAGGATACGAGCAACTCCACACCATCGCCTATAGTTCTGTGCAATGCGACGGTGCCGCTGCTCTTTGGTTTGGCTCGATCGATGGGTCGCTATGCCAGCAACAATCCACCGTTGTTGTGTCGCATATTTCCGCCCGAACAGCTGCCCATACAGCGCGCCAGCGCCGGCGGCAATGGCCACTGTGGCGCCGGTGGCTCATTCAGCAGCAGCGAACGACTGGCGACCACGCAATTTCGACCAATCATACCCCGTTCAATGTCGGGCAGCCTGGCCCACAGTAGCATCCAGGCTGATGAAAGTCGTATGCGTTCAGCGGTCAGCAAGCAAAAGCCATCACTGCAAAGCTACTTCTCGGTACCCTACGATCCGCGCACCCACTTCTTTACACGCTATGGCTCCAGCTTTAATCAGTTTCCGCACATGCGTGTCAACCTGTGCGAATCGCCTGGCAAAACTGGTCCGAAGCAGCTGTACCGTGTGCCGCCATTTCCCATACAGCATCTGCAGACCATCTTTGCGGTCTCCAAGAAGCTGCTAACCAAAGACACGCTAGAGTATTTGGATGAGCTGGGCAGCGATATATTCTCGATGCATTTGAAAAATGGCAATTGCTACAAGAGCTTCTCGGAGATGCTGAATCTGGTGTTGGTCACACTGTTGCGGGAGCTGCTGCAGCATCAGATCGATCTGCCTACACCCTTCACCAAGGATGTTCAGGAGTTTGTCAAGCGTCTCTTTCTGAACGGCCAAACGGAGCTGCAAAACAAACAGCAGGACCAGGAGCGCGAACGTCGCGAAGAGAACGGCATTGCTGTCGTCAACAAGTACAAGATCAATGTGATGGCCAATGCAGCCTGTGTGGACCTGCTCGTCTGGGCCATACGCGACGAGACGGGTATGTGAACTAACTCAACGCAGGCGTCTTCATGTCAACTGCGATTTCTATTATTTAATACTTGGACAGGTGATAAAAGTATATTTGTGTGCGGTTTGTCTGCATTCGATTTGCGTTTAGAGCCAACTTGAACATCCTAAATTTGCACAGAACTCAAAGCAGAGCAACAATTCTCTATGACAGAAAACCCGACAAGAGACTGACAAACATGGATATATATAATTCTATATATCTGGTACCAATACTTAGGTCTCAGACAAGGTTCAGTTTGAAGCAATATCAAGATCTAAGCCCTTAAATAGACAAATAGGCTGTAATCTATTGTAGACGTTGCTTTGTTAGCCGAGCTCATTCAAAGGGTTGGCCCAAGATGTGAACAAGGCGATACGATATTATTATGGATATATATATGATATAATATAGATCAGTTTAGATGCCTCTGACTGTATTTATTGGTTTGTGATCGAAGCTATGCTGCATCGGAGAAGACAAATCTGGAAAAATTGTTTATTTCAATTATGATTTATGATTATGAATTATGATTTGTATTATTTATATTATCACACTGTAAGGGTATATATGTGGCTTCGGTGTGCCGAGGATAAATTTGATTTCTTTGGTTGCTTTCTTTTGAGTTCCGATACGGAATATTTTTACAGTTGACGTCGACTATAACGTGCCGTCCTTGCAAAATGGCTTGCATTTTTTATTGAAGAAAGGTCAGGAGCAGTTCCTGTCGCATTCCCAACACCACTTTCACCTCCAACTCCACTCCCTACCCGCTCCCTCCACAGTTCTAATTAATTTGTTTTTTTTTAATTAATTGTTAATTTTATTATTTTGATTATCGAGTTTTGTGTTCGAGCTCGTTGGCTATCGCGGCATGCACACGAGTATCATACGATTTGAAAGGGATCGCAAGATGATTCCAGAGAGATCATTTGATCATTGCATGTTGCTGCTCTACTTTCCCAAATGTTGAGGTGCTCTTGTCACTGTTTATGTTTATATATCCTACATTCTGTTGTTCTTTGCTCTTTATATAGTTTTCTAATCGTTTGCATTTCAACAACACTCCACAGAGGCGGACAAGCTGTGCGGACGCTTGTCTCAGAAGCTGAATCTGGTGCTCAGCCATAAGATCGTTATGGATCATATGCCGCTGCTGATGGTCTGCTTGGAGGGCTTGGGCAAGCTGGCACAGAAATTTCCGAACATTGCCGGCACATCTATATCGTATTTACGCGACTTTCTCGTCGATCCCAGTCCGATATTGGGCAAACTGCATGCGCATGCCATGCAGACGATGGCTCTGCAGAAGAAGGAGAAGGAGCTGACGCCATTCAAAATAGTTGTACAGCACTCGGATTCGCGTTCGATTGTCGACATCTTTGGCGATAATCAGAAACAGCCCGGCACCGGTCGCAGCGGCTATGCGGCCTTCGAGGCACTGCGTGATGCTGCAATTGAGAATCTATCGATTGCTCTACGTGCAGCCCATACGCTCGACCAGTTCTGTGTTCCCGCTCTGGTGGCAAACGTATCAAATCGTCTCTTCACGGCAGAGAAGCACGAGAGGTAACTTCACAATATATATATATATATCTATACGAAGAGGGCATACCTAAGCTGATCGGTCTTTCTCCTTAGCGAATCGACTCTAGTCAGCCTGAATATTATTGTGATGCTGGGCCATGTGGCTGTGGCGCTGAAGGACACCTCGAAGACAACCCAGAATATATTGCAGTTCTTCATACAGCGCTTCTGCAAGGTGCCGTCGGAGCAGAATGCATTGATTGTCGACCAGCTCGGCTGCATGATCATATCGCAGTGTGAAACGCACATTTTCGATGAGATCATGAAGATGTTTTCGCGCGTCACGGTGCAGTCTGCATCGCTGGCATACACCTCAGATCCGGAGCATCGGAAGCAGTTCCATCATGTGTCGGATGCTGTA